GGTTTATTACGGCCCTACATCTATCGTGCATCGACAAAATGAGATTGTCAATGTCTTGTTGAGGTACATTTGCCCATTCAGCGATTAAAAGCTCTCTCAATTGAAACGTTGTGTGAATGTTCCCCATATGCGGAGTAATTCTTCGTTGAAGCATGTCCCACACATGCTCGATGGGATTCAGGTCCGGTGCTATATATACCAGATTTTTTAACAAGCCTTGTCAATAAGATGTATTTTCTTGGACAATTAAGTATATGTCTATCTATCTATCATTGACGGCTGCTTCAAAAACGTTCCAAATACTTCATAGTCATGGATTCAAGAAACCATTCCTGTGTTCTTTCATTCTCTAGGAAAAGCTTCTCCCCGTTTGGCCAACTCAAATATTTGGGAATGTGGAATTGGTCTTTCCATTCAAGAAACCATTCCTGTGTTCTTTCATCCTCTAGGAAAAGCTTTTCCCTGTTTGGCCAACTCAAATATTTGGGAATGTGGAATTGGTCTTTCCGTTCAAGAAACTACTTGTGTTCTTTTATTCTCTAGGAAAAGCTCCTCTCCGTTTGGCCAACTTAAATTTCTGGGCAGGAACCACAATTCAACTTTATATTTTTGAGTGTTCTCAATAATTGGACTCTATGTAGACAAAAACTGGAAAGCATATTATGAACTACTCATATCAAACCTATTTATTTATTTTTTGTACTGTTGTGTTGGACGGTGGTGTTATTGTGCTTGTTTTTGAATTATACTGAATAAAATACAGTTGTTTCTGATATGTAAACGAACTAAAATGAGTTTTGAGGTTTTCATTAAAAGGTTCAGAATCAAATGAAGTTTTCCTTCACTTGCTATTCTTTTGACCAGTTGAAAAATTCCAATTGATTATCATTCATTTCTTCAGGTGAATTGTTTGGAACCTCATCCACAACTACCCTTCATTTGCACCAGCGGCCTCGATTGGGATATCAAAGTTTGGGTGCCTTCTCGTGAGGAAGCTCCTGATATGACAAATTTGGCTTTAACGGTCAAGGACAATATCAGATCTCGTGTGAACTTGCCAACATCCAACACGAACGAAACTCAGATGCTCTTTATGCTGTGGAGACATTTGAGGCAAGTCAATAGACCGAGGGTGAGTACATTTTCCCTTCAGTAGTTGTTGATGGAGTTTTAATGGTGTTACGATTAATTTTTTGTTCACAGGTGAACGTCGCTGACGAGCCAAACGTTTTTTCCCGCTCCGGTGCTCCTGTCGACGACGACGATGACGACGACAATGAAACTTCCAGTAATTCTGTGCTCTCGTCGGACGATCATTCCAACGATGATGATATCGACGACCCCACAGGTTGTGTGCCTTCTTAATGCAGTCACCGTCTGAATAGAAGTATTCCATCACAAGATAGTTAACAGGAAGTAACTGAGATTTACAGAGACTGGTGTGGTGTAAGGTCGTTCGAGTTGTATTTTGCAAAATTCTTCTGAAGCGAAACAAGTTAGATATTAAAGTTGTTATCGATAAAGCAAAATTGTCCAAATTGTTTTTTTTTCTGGAAAGACACTTCGATTGCCTTGCAGATAGAGAAAGGTTCGTTGTTGGAGATCGTTAGCTTTTTCCAATTGTCTTTCAATTTGATTGAAACTTGATTGAAAGAAGTGTCATTGATAGTTACTCAATTATTCTCATAGTCTTTATTATTATTATCATCATCATCAAACTGGTAAAGTGACTGCCTGTTTCTCATAAAAATATGAATTCAGACTTCTACCCCCAAGCAGGAGTAACCATCACCCCTAAATAATGACCCCAATAGTAGAGTAAAATGTCCTTTGAGAGACCTTGAAATTTTCTTCAAGCAGCATTCGGATTTATTAACTTTCGACTATTAACTCCATAAAAAATCACGTTTGAAAATTTGAATACGTTTAGGTGTTCACTTATTACTTAACGAAATAAATGTTTCAAGGGGCTACAAATCTGGTGGACGTGGAGGAGGCCATTTGATGCTGTCTGTGTTTTCGTTGGTATAAATTGAAACATAATGGAAAGGAGCACTGTACTGTTGATTCAAATCAATTGTTACTACGGCGCTGGATTGGAACCACATTTCACAAGATTTGTTCGACATTTCAAAGCATTTCCAAAATGATTCGACAGCACTTATCTACAAAACTTTAAAACAAATCTTCTACAGGCGCTGTTGTGTCTGAAGATAATCTTTTCAACATTACCCACAAACAAATCAAGGGGCTACAAATCTGGTGAACGTGGAGGAGGCCATTCAATGCTGCCTGTGTTTTCGTCGGTCTAAATCGAAACGTAAGGGAAAGGAGCACTGTACTGGTTAATTCAAATCAATTGTTACTACTACGCTAGATTGGGAGAAGGGACAGTATCGAAGGCGGCCACTGTCACCAGATTTGTCGCTACCAGGTTTCTTCGTCCTAAATGCTGAACTCTGTAGATTACAGTCAGCATTGAACGTCGAATGACCCCTGAAATGCTTTGGACTGGGCAAGAACTTTTAAAACATCTTCGTTATTGTACGCTCATCAGTTTCAACATTATGTGAGTATTGAGTAAACACCAACAACAAATTCCAATTTTCAAATGTGATTTTTTACAAAGCGTTTGGATGTCGCAGAATCCTAATCACTTTCCCATGATTGTGTTCTCAAATGCTGAAGCGGAATAGTTAGTTTCCACAGCTTTTGCACCTCATTTTGAGCTACATGAAGCTTTCCCTGGAAATTTCCTTCGGGGTCGAGAGAAAAATGCTTCAAACTTCTGCCAATGCAGAAACTTGAGATTTATTTTTTGTAAATTACGACTCGTAAACTCAGCGGAGTTACTAACTAGTTGGGAACTACTTCAATTTGATAATCTTTTCAGGATTATCAAATTATTTTATAGAAAAACAATGTTCTAAGATCTCTATTTTATTTGATATAATTCAGTGCCAACTACACCAAGTGAACTTTATCAATAAAAAGATGAAACTTGAGTCTGGCGTAGAGTAAATCCAAATTGAACACTTTTCTCAAACATCACAACGGCAGCACTTTTCTCGAAGAGTTTGGAATTATTTTTCTTCGTCTCCTGAAGACACAAACTTGGTTGGTGAAACGCGCGTCTAGAATAGTGTTGCACAACTGGTGATTGAGGACAGTGCTTGATTTGGATTGAGAAAATCAGTTTTGTTTAGCAATGATCAGTTTTTTCTCCATTTATTTATCGTTATAGTCCTATTTGTTTTAAGTGGGCGCTTTGTGCCATATTTTTTGTATATCAAGCGCCCGTCGCTTGATATACAAAATAACAATGAGTTATTGCGTATATTCAAAGTATTTTTCACAAAGAAAAACTACTACTCATCATTAACTCAGCGTATTCAATAATTCCAACCAGAAATCATGCAGATACTCATATTAGTTCTAGTAAATGAATATTTCGAAATTAAATCTCGAAATATAAGTCTCTCCCAACTACCTACAACATAGGTTCTGGTAAATGCCTGTCGGAAAACACCTACTTCTCCGGCTAATACCGCGCTGGATGTTAAATTATATTCGACAGAAATTTATCCAAGATTCCTCATAGAGGCTAGTCTCACAGATGTTTCTCGTTCATTCAGCAGCAGGAACATGCTAACATTATTCAAGTAGATTACCTATAAACCGGCTTCGAGGTATTACCTCAGCCACCGTATTCACCAGATTTGGTCCCCTTCGACTTTTTTCTGTTCCCAAGATTGGATAGACGGCGTTTTCCGACGATTGAGGAGATAAAAACAGAATCACTGTGATAGCTCAAGGAACTAAAAAGTGTATATCAGAACTGCTTTGAGGATTGAAAAAAAGGGTGGCACAAGTGTATTACATCTGAGGAGGACAACATTGAAGAGGACAAAACCGGTATTGATGAATAAACAAATATTTTTTGTGAAAAATTTAAATTAACCTTTTTATGATCATTGTGTATATGTTCAGGTGAAAGCCACCTTATCCCTTGCCTCTCATGTGAACCTTTATCTTACCATGCAGCATTAGCTGGGTTAGTTGTTGTTTTTCCGTCGGGTATAATAATAATAATAATAAAACACAAATTACACAAATTACAACACGTTTATAAATTAAAACAATTTTTGAAAACAAACATACTAATCACTGAAGCAAAAATGCTTGTGCGTGCCACACTACCTACAAAGTCATAAGTTCACATGAGAGGCAAGGGGAAAGGTGTCTTTCACTTGATCTTGGGCATATCAGATGCACTTCTCTGGAATAAAAATTCAATTTATCACATTATATGCATTCTCGCTCAATTCTCATGCAAAAAATTAGTTTATTCATGATAAGGACGAATAAACAGAAAATTGTTTGTCTTGTGCTAGCGTTTCGTACTCTGTAACTATATAAATGCTCAACTGCTCAAAATATATTCCCAATTTCTTATGTCAAGCAAATTCAGTGGAAGAAGTTATTTCACTGGAAAATCTTACCACTTTTTGAGTTTAGAATCACAATCTGTGGTCGTTTAAATTTTTGAAAGTTCACAGTTAAACATATCTCCCTAATGATAAATAAATACTATATTTCGAATACTAAATCATTACGATACAGTGCATTAAAACCGACAATAAGTAAGTTTTCAGAAAATCCCAATGACTTGAGCTAGTCCTGCATACACCACAAGCGTGAAAAATCCATAAGACATCGTCACGATTGCTTTAACCAACAGCCCCACCCAAGCGTTTGCTCCGAGACTAGTTATAAACAGATCCAACAACAAAGTCTTGTACGACGTAAGTACCAATAAAAGGGTAACAACACTTCTGATGTTTTGTTTCAAATCGTGACGGGACCACAGCCACACCAAAGTGGACGTGATGATGTGCTGCACCAACAAAATATTCGATTCGAGGCATTTTTGAATGTATATCCAGTCGAATTCCGCTCCTCTGGCTCCCACCCACATGAGAAGTGCTCGAGAGAGAATGACTTCCGCAGTTGCCCAGCCTATGCCTGCCGTCAGTACTTTGCTGTGACCTTTGCCTGGAATACCAGCCAGTACTAGATATAGGCCCACTAGATCGGCCAAATCTACGGTTGACTTGAGGAATTCCTGGAAATTGGGAGACAGTTTATAAACAATGAATTGAGTACGATGAAGACATGACCTAATTTTCAACAATTTTTTGACAAGTCTAATAAACAACATGCAGCATGATACAGAAAATTGAGTATAATAAAGCTATAAGCTTATTTTTAACCTCAATGTATGGTCAAGTCTAATTAACTACTTGCAACATGAGACTTCTTTCGCTTCTATTCTTTACTGATACTGTACAATTCCGTGTACTACCTCACATCATCATAGCTAACAATTCTACTGCTTTCACCATGCAGAATGCAGTACCCTGATACTCACCCCTATCAAATCGCTCCCAAGTTCAGACACATTATCTGGAAAAAATGTTGCCAGCACCATCATTTTTGCCAACTGGGTGAAAATATAAATGAATCCCGCTTGTATGCATTTCCAGAATGCTCCGTATTCGGGTCTAGAAAACGAAAATTAAGATAGGAAAGACACTTGTAAGAATACCTATTTACAATCCGGAATATTTGTACGTCAAGTAATATGGTACATATATCAATGCGATGCAATTTCCAAAGTGGTACAAAGTCATGTTCAGTTAGTATTCCCGTGAAAAATCTCAAATCAGTTCATACAATTTTTTAGTAGGTTTAATCATAAATATCTCAATTCAATGTCCAAGGAATTCGTATTGAGTAGGACCTGAAGTTACCAAACAAATACAAGAATAAGTGATTCTCAGATCTCTAATTTTTGATTGGCTGTGATGTGAAGTATCAAACCGGAAACTGGCTTCCTGACAGTGACAGACGTCAAAATTTTGTTACCACTGACGGTTCACAACGGAAAAATCGGGGTGAATTTTTTTTTATTTTAAATTATTCATTATATATGAATTCAGTTGTTATTTGTAGAATGGTTAAAATACACTATGATGGTTTACTATTTGTGAGACTTCGCTGAAAAAAAAGCAGAATATTCATTACAGTACATCATTACGAAGTTGTTTGGAAAAAAACACTCATCAAAACAAATACTTTCAAACATATGAACATTGAATTCCACGACATTCACTTTCTTTAATCAGTTTGTACTTTAAACATTCGTTATGAAATTTTCACAGATATCATTCTCATCAATGCTACACATTCATATTATTAACATATTTATTTCATATACATTTTGAATATTCTCAGCTGTTTATGGAACTTTACCTCTACTTAAATTTATTTTGGTTCAGTCATAACAATGACGGAATAATAAGGAACATTCATGTCTTTCATATCGAGATCACAAGTGAGATATCTGAATCTGAACAAAACCCCTTTTCATGGGACCGCCTCTGTCTCTAAACTTTGCAAGGAGTCATTAAACGGAAATGAGGGAAACAGAATATTCAATGGTTATCGAAAGGTAGAAGTCATGTGTTCACGGGTATTATACAACAAGGAAACGTTATCTACTTTTACGAAATCGTTGCGTACTTGCAACACTTTTAGGTTACGAATCCAAATGACAAGCAACACGTGTGACACGTTAATGATCGGTTTGTTCGTGGTTTGTACCTGATTGTAACATATTCCTAGTTGACACTAAATACACTTTTGATGAGAAACGTATGAACCGACCAGTTTTTTTAGGAAGATTAAGCACTAGTGACTATAATATAGCATTTGAACTTTGAAAAACGGCATGGAATTCAATCCTTCGAAAAATGTGGACAATTCCAAATGTTGTACTTGAGAAATTTTTGTCGTGTGACCTAGCATTGATGTAAAAAGGCTAATTAGTATAAATCTCACAATGAAGGTTTTTTTAAATACGTTAGTTACAGATTTTCATGAATTATCAGCCAATTCCATCATATAACCTAATAAGATAGATATGATTCGATAGGGCTTGAATCACGTTTCGAATAAAAATTTTTATATTGACCTACTTTACCTAGAATAGCTTCTAGGTGAATAAAGTTTGATAGTTTCTTCTGAGAAAACCTTGGAAGAAACTGTAAGGTTTTAAACTACAAAAAATCTCATTTCTGAGTTCTATATGAGGGCTTTAAGGTCTTGAAAATATACCTGATTTGAGTTTGATAGTTTCTTCTGAGAAAACCTTGGAAGAAACTGTAAGGTTTTAAACTACAATAAATCTCATTTCTGAGTTCTATATGAGGGCTTTAAGGCCCTGAAAATATACCTGATTTGAGTCATGGACAAAAAGCTACTACTTTTGATATCAATCCCTTATCGAACCATCACTACAATCGATTCAAAATGTTATTGTCATTAGTACCTTATACATCCGTTGTCCAATTTTAATTGTTGTCAGGCTCAAAGAAAAATCAATTCATTTTTATATTCATTGTGTAATTCAAGCTATGTCCCAAAAAACTTTCCCTTCATTAAAATCCAAGCAAGCGAATATTGAGTGTGATTATTGAAAGTCTAGGCACTTTCCCTGAAAATTTGAATTATAACAATGTGTGTCATCAAGCAATAGAACATGCTTAGAATCTAATTTATAACTAATCTTCTTGCAAGGTGAATTTTATTGAAAGAATTCTGACAATTCAGATGTTCCAATTCCATTTAGATCTAATTTGGATGTTTTGGTAAAATAGAAAAAACAAATATAATTGAAAACTCAAAATGAGGTTTCTGGGTACATATCATTGGCCCAATTCAAGAATTTTGATTGGAACCCTCGATATTTTTCAGACCATATTTGATAAAAAAATATCTTTTCAACAATGTAACAGACGTGATATTATATAAACTAACTGTTAACCTTTTATACATATAATTGATCTTTTGAACTTGAGATCTATTTTAACCATGAAAGAAGAACACTTATTTAAAAAAATGACAAACTTCAAAGAGTCATTCAGATCATAAGATACAAGGCCACCCACAAAAAATTATATAGCCTGTGTAGTACCCCAGGGAACAGTACAGGGGCCAGTGTCCTTGTCGTTGTATAAGAACGATCTCAGCAAAACAAAAATAAAACGTTTTTTTCGAACCAAATATAAGTGGATGTACTTCACAAAAAAAAAACTTATTTAAGAGGAACACCATTTATATGATATCAATTTCAACCCTATTGACATCAGAGAGTACGGATTTCAGTATAATTTATGTATATCGTTCACAAATGGATTGAATAGTAGTGATGCTTGAGAGCTCTTTAAGGAACTCCAGAAAAAACATCAGTTCAATTAGATATAGCTCTCCTCTTCGTTGGCGATTCTTTAGGAACTTTTGAAGTCATCCATAAAAGTTAAATAAAGTGGTTTGTATGTTCAGCGATTTTCTACTATTGAACAAATGGATCAAGAATTTGCATCAAATTTTGTGTGAAAAACAGAACAATGCTGAAGCACAACAACAGCAGAACAACAAACAACAGGTTTGTAATCGCCCCATCTGCCTGTGAACGAGGTGAACGTATGTTAAATTATAAAAACAAATATTGAAAATCCAGAAGATTCGACTGTGTTTCAACCTACAGCTGATCATGCGTCACATTCGAGTAAAAAATTAATCTGGTTGATAAGCGATGACAGGTACCTCTGAAATCAGTTTGGTTTTGAAAAAGGAATTTTGCTTGAAGAGGAATTGTCAGAGTGAATTGAGGTTATGTTGAAGAGCTCTTACGGGCGCAATTGAAACTTTTTTCGACCATTAATACTTGGTGAAAATACTTATAATTGAACAATAAAATTCAAATTTTTGAAAAAATCCACTGGATTCGGATAAGGTAATTGTACAAACGTATCTGTGAAAACATGGTGTATATGACGTTGATATTAATAATGTGATAAATAGTGATAAATAGTTCTAATCTCACAGGTGAAAAATTTACCGCACTAAAAACATCAACAAAGAACAGTAATTAATAGACACATATTTTCCTGAATTTATTGAATGATAAATGCATTGTATATTATGACTGTAATAGATGTATCAACAATCTGCTTGAAATTAAACAGGCGAGTTCTGGAATTATGTGTTAATAAATAATTTATGTGAATAACTTCAAGTTAGATTTTATCGTGTTTCTCGCATTTCCTAAGGGAAATGTTTGCAAATTTGAAAAATCAGATTGGAGTTTGAAACGAAGGATGATATAATCGACATCAAAAGGAGAAAGGAATGATTTTGAATTCGAAGAAGTAGGTAAAAGTTTATTTATTGAGGAACAGTTTCCTCGTAAATCCTCGACTTTCGTAGAAAATATAATTCATTCTTCATTCATGGATTTCATCAGAAATTCCCAACTGAATCAGAGTGGCGTTTAAAACGGCTTGTACACAAAAACAAGTGTCGGCAGATGTTTTGAAAGGTAGAAATAGAAATCTTGAACTGAAAAAATAGTTTTGAACGTTTAAAAAAATATTTTGATCAAACTGAAAATCATAGACACTTGTTTCAAGTAGTGCATAAAGAAAAATGAGAATTGAAACTTTCTATGTTTTTATACCACTTGTATTTGTAACTAACGTCCTACAGTGACATATTCTCTCTCTCTTTCTCTCTCACGTTTACGAAATCCCCATTCATAGACTCGTACATAGTCCTGTACACACTTTTATAATTGAAACGTCATTATAATCCTAAAAAAATGTGTTTATACATTTCGATGATCCATATAGTTTTAGACGTGGATTTAATGAAGATTAATTTTCAACATATATGTATGCAAATGAATGACCATCAATTAATCAGGTGTTTACCTACAAACAATTGAACGGGTGCGTGCCTCAGCCGAATTTTCTGACCCAATCCTCTTGTGTCTCACTATTACATACAATCAGCGCTGGCGCTTTGAAAAATACTAGAAATCGCCCGTCTGCTGAGGAAATTTTCTCGACCGTGGCAACGCCGATAAGCAACAGTCTAGGCCTTGCAAGATTGCCAGATGTACAATATTTATCGTTTTATACGACAATTTTGAACAAGGAGCGTAGAGGCGTTAACAAATACTAAAACAGGAAGTGTTACCGTTTCCACCGATTCTCCAGGGGACCTACCGATTTCAACTTGTGTTTTCCGATTCACGAGGTAATTGTATATATTTTCCATCATTGCTGTTGTTTTATACAGGATGTCATATTGGTTTGTTTACTCTAACGTGACGTAATTCGCTCTGGTGTTCCAAGATATCATGGTGGCTTGCCATATTTTGTAGTTTTATTTAATCAAAATATTATTGATCTCGCTCATAATAATACATTACAAGGGTGGTCTAAAAAGTTTCCGATCCCGACATGAAGATAGCAACACTCGTAAATAAAAGCTGGTGAATTTCGTTGTTCGTCTGTTGACAGTTACTCATCAAAGTTTCAGCCACTTTGGACTCGCAGTTGCTATGTAACAGTCGCTTGAATGAGTTGAGGAGAGTGTTTTTATAAAAATTGACGCCCATTATTGTAGATGAACCTTGGATACACCATTATACGCCCGGAATGAAAATACAGTCCAAACAGTGGACTGTAAAGGGGGACACCGGCCTTGAAAAAAGTAAAACTATTTTTTCGGCTGGGGCAGTATTTTGGGATAGTCATGGAGTTATTAAAATCGATTATCTTCAAAAAGAAAAAACAATTACAGGAGCACACTACGGATCGTTACTTGACAAGCTAAAGGCAGAACTTGCAGAAAAATGTTCATATTCGCATAAAAAGAAAATTATGTTTCACCAAGACAAAGTATCGTCTTATATCTCAGAGGTTGCCATGGCGAAAATCTACGAATTACGGTTTGAACTGCTTGACCATCCACCTCACTCACCAGATCTAGTTTGTTTTCTCATCTAAAAATTGCGCTCGGAGGACAGAGATTTTTGTCAAATGAAGAGGCAATCACTTTCGTGAACAATTATTTCACAGAGGAAAACGCCGAGTACTATATGGACGAGTTACAGAGATTGGAAAATCGCTGAAAGAAGTGTGTAGTGTTGAAAGGCGAGTATGTTGAAAAAAAACTTTCTGAAAAAATGTCTTGTAATTTTGTTATGTCGGAAACTTTTCAGATCACCCTCGTAAATGCGTGTTTTGTCATCCAATAATAGTGTTTCATTGAATAAATGAATTATATCATTATTTTAGTAATTTAATTGCCCGGAAAACTCAAACATGACGTTATATATTGTTGAATCGATCACCTCTAATAACATAGCTCAATTTTATATTCATATAAATTCAATAATCAATTTTAACGAATTTTTATATTTCCAATCAATTTCCACATCTCCAGATGACTGGAAAAAGCAAACATGGTGTTAACTTTGTTGAAACAATCATTAGGAATATTATATCTCAATATCTCAAATGATTTTTTTTAATTCCCTCCAATTTCCACCACCTTAGACGGTCTGGAAAACTCGGAGGGAAAGTTTAACTTGTTGAATAGATGGACAGGAAAAACATATGTCAATCTTGTAGTTGTACACTCAGTGATAGAATTTTTTGTATTTCCACCCCTTCTTCCATCCCTTAAAATCATGCTCAGTTTCCGTACAACAAATTGAAAGCTTTATTAAAATATTTATTCTACAGTTTTTTTATCAAATCGACTACATCCAAAGTATACTTGAAAACAATAAAATCTCTTTTTTCATGTATTTAATCAGTTATAATGATCAGGTTTTGTTATTTGATATTTGTATTTAGTTTCCGTACAACAAATTGAAAGCTTTATTAAAATATTTATTCTACAGTTTTTTTTATCAAATCGACTACATCCAAAGTATACTTGAAAACAATAAAATCTCTTTTTTCATGTATATAATCAGTTATAATGATCAGGTTTTGTTATTTGATATTTGTATTTAGTAGCTTTAGAGCTAAATACACTCATTGTTATTAAATAATATAATAACTATGGGGCGATCTCGTACTTCAAGTCCAACAATTTTGAATTTTGGTCCCTCTGCAGGATAATCCAGTTTGGCAACAAGGCAGCGCTGGCCAGGCCTTGTTTCTCTGTGTCTCCGTCAAAATAATAAGTGCAGCGGTACGATAAGGCTGCGCCGTTGCACGGTGGGCACAAGATGGTGTCAGAGAATAGACTGTGCCTCACTTGGATTCGGCGAAAAGTCACTTTTTCAAACACAACTCGCTAGATCGAAATGTACGGGCCCGTTCAGAGACAGATCCGTCGCCTACTGTAAGTTTCTCGAGCAAAATCGATGTGCGGTAAAATGAATAGTTGAGGTTCTGTTTGGATGTCGTAGGATTTTCTCACGTTATCATGTGCGGTTAGTGCATTTTTCGGGACAATGTCGTCCGGTGATAGGCAGAGTTCTTCGTCGGGATCGGGGAATGCGGTTTCTTTGAGACCCATCGAGGTTCCCCAGGCACTCCAGAGCGGGGAGAAATTCATAAAGTGGGATGAGGTAGGCTTTGTTTTACACCCCTTGAATTGGTCCATTTACTCCTGTTCGGCTCGGTATTCAAGAACATTACTTTGTTGATGAAAAACCGTTCCTGATCATTATTTTTTTTTGGATTATTTGTCACGCTTTTACTCTGCAGTAAAATAGTACAGTGGGGTGAAATAAAATATCTTCTACTACCCCTAGACTGCACCTTGCAATTGTTGAAATAGTTTAGTAGGAAATGTTTCACGCTTAGGAATGGTTGGAGTGCCTCAAGGCACACTAATTGGCCCCATTCTTCCCTGTGAAGTAGAACCACTCTGGATTTCTACATTTACTTCAGGGTCATAATTTTGTTGTTAGCTCTATTCCGTAACTCGTAACTACCTGGGCTGAAAATGTTCGGGCCTAACACATACATGGCGTTAGTTTTACTGCATTCACCGCTTTTTCAGTTAGTAATAACCTTCAAAAGAAAGCTATTCAAATTTCATGGTATTCTACTCATAAGTTTGTGAGTGCTAGGAGTGATACTAATTTTGTTATTTTGAAAACAGTGGATCAAAAACAATTTCGTGTTTTAATTTTCACTGCTTCTTGATGGGAAAAATACCATTCAATTAAAGCAAGGGGTTGAAAAGTGTTATAACTCTGGGGCCACACTAGCGGCTAACGTTAATGCTCATTATCGCGATAATTTTTAACGCCCTAAAGTGGGTGGCTACACTTGATTAATTCTCGCGTTAATCTCTTTGATGTACCGCCACTTGAGCTATCGCCTAACGCCAAACGGCAATGTTACTGCCCTTGTCAAATTATCGCGTTAAGTCGTGGCTACACCTACGGTTAAGGTCCATTATCGCGATAATTAATGGCATTTCTCGTTAGTGTGGCCCCAGAATAAGGACTTCTTCCCATCAGAAACAACAATAAACGTTGGTTTGCTGACTTCAAACGTGGTCGTAGAGACACCGATAATGCAGAACGCAGTGGACGTCCAAATGAGGCAGTTGCACCAGAAAACATAAAGAAACCCACAAAACCGTTTTGAATGATCGAAAAGTGAAGTAACGTGCGTTAGCAGACGTTGTAAAGGTATCAAAAAAACGTATTGGCTTTATATTGCATGATCATTTGACTATGAGAAAGTTGTGTTCAGAGTAGGTACCCCGCGAGCTGACTGTTGACCAAAAACAAGAAAGTCTTGATGATCCTGAGGAGTATTTGGCCATATTAAAACATAACAAACCGAAATTTTTGCGTCGATATGTGACAATGGATGAAACATGGATCCATCACTTCACGCCGATATCAAAACGATCGTCATCTGAGTGGAGAGCAACTAGTGAACCTTGTCCGAAGCTCAAGAAATCACAACAATTGGCTGGAGAGGTTATGGCCTTGGTATTTTCGGATGTGCTCGGTGTAATATTCATCGACTATCTTGAGAAGGGAAATACCATTAACAGTGGAAATTATATAGCGTTATTTGTAGTGTTTGAAGGCCGAAATTGCAAAGAAACGACTGCATATGACAAAGAATCAAAAATCATCAAAGCAACGAATTATTGTGTGGCTCTTGATGAAGATAGCGTTGTTTCAGGTTCAAAAACACTCGAAACTCGAATTCCACCAAATACACGCCATTAAGACACGCCCGGGGAAGCCATTGTATGGCGAAACACGTGTTGCGTTTTTGTAAAACTATGTAGTGAAAATCACACAATAAAGTGTTTTTAGAATACGTTATATAGTAATTATTGTTGATATTGTGTTGTCCAATATCAGGCAATCTATTGGAGTATGACGTGAATGGTAAGTAATTCGTTTCATCGAAGTTATTTGTGAGTTTGTTCTGTCGAAACCAACTTTCAATTGCCAGAAAATCTTCTTCTGCACATAACTTGAGTTGTTCCCACGTAAATCCTGTGTATAGGATGGCAGTGTCATCCGCAAAGCTCAATCCCTCACCTCTTGTATCAAGAAGGAGCAGTTCATTCAAGTAAATTGTGAAAAGAACGGGGCCTAGCCCAGGTCCTTGAGGTATCCCAAAGCTCACAGTTTCCGGATTACTCATTGTATCACCTATCCTGACCCTCTGTTCATGATCATTCAAATAAATTTTGAAGAGTTCATACGCCTTTCCACGTATACCAATGTTTTCCAGTCCGGAACATCGAAGAAAGGTTGGAGATTTGTCTCTCTTTTATAGATACTTTCACGGGAGGTGTTCAAGTGTCTTGGTACATACCAGAAATACGCGACGGACTGTAGTTGCTCATCGTTTTGAGGTTCAACTCAATACACCTCGAACTTCACTGTTTATGAACTCTTTTATTTAGAGAACTGCGTTATGTGGAATAAACTTCCTGAGAACTTTTCCCAATTAAATTTAATCTCTGGCGTTTCAAATCCAACGTGAATCACTAGTTTCGCACAGGCACCGCTTTTAGAGCGCCTTAAGGTTTTTTCTGTAGTGCTTGTGTCTTGTCCTTAAAAAAGCTTTGGCTCTACTTGAGTAGAGCCTTGATGATGACAGCACGACCAGCTGTCTAAAGCGCTCGCATATATATAACCCATAATATCAATTCCTGCTTAGCAACTAATTTATTTCCGACACTGTGAAAGAGTGGAATTGGAAAAGTACTACCAAAAAATACTAATCCAAGTAATACAAGATCTCAGAGCAATCAGTATATGGCCAACCTTATCGAAAATTTTGGAAAAAGCAATGGAAGTCCAGCTAAAGGAATATTTCGAGTACTTCTCAATACAACCTTCGATTCAGTCAGGTTTTCGCAAGGGATACAAACTGTTCAACCGCACTCTTGTACGTTGTCGACGATATAATTAGAGCCACAGATCAGAGAAATTGTACTTGTTTGATATTATTGGATTTTAGTCGGGATTAAACCGTGACGTTCCTCAAGGGTCTATTTTGGGTCCACTGCTATTTGCCATATATACGTCGAATTTAGTCAAGAGTCTTCAGTGCCGCAAAATTCACCTATATGCTGATGACACTCAACTTTATTATAGCTTTCCTCCACAAATGATTGCTTGTTGTCGAATAAATGTAGAGCTCAAAGCGTTTACAGGGGCAGCCTCAAACCACTCTCCGATTATTAATAATACTAAATCTAATGTCATTGGTTTCGGCTCCAAAATCAATCGCAGTACTATACTCAATGATTTTGCTGTTAGTATAAATGAAACTTCTTTCACAACTGTTCAAGTAGCAAAAAGTCTGGGAGTTCTAGATGCCATTTTCAGATTTGAAAAACACGTCAATATACTCTTATACAACGTTCAAAATTCTTGCTTGAAGTTGCTCTATGTCAAAGAATTTCACACAAACTTAAAACTGTTGGCTGGTTGAATATGAGTGATAGAAGAGTTCTTCATTCTGCAGTACTCTTCCATAAAGTCATACTGACCAAAACCTCCACAAATCTGCATAGAAAAATTACTCATCAGATGTTCATAACCTCAATGTAAGAAATAAAGGTTTATTAACACCTCCTAAATTTCGACTTGAACTTTTCAGACGCAGTTTCAGTTCTCAAGTTTGCGCAATCTATAATAATATTCCTGAAATGATCAAAAACAGTGGGTTTCATCGATTTCAAATCAGATTTAAGAAATATTTATTTGATCTATTTTATTATTATTCTTATCATACCATGCCTTGATTATTTATAATAATGCTCTTATAACACCGCAGCGACTTTTTGATGATAAGTGGAAGAGCAATTTATAACGAATTATTGTTATAAAAATTGCAACTTCGCCTTTTATTTCCAACTTATTCATATTTTTGTCCATACCGGTCATTAACTGTTGAACCTCATTAGTTGTATTCCATAAAGACATTTATTATTATTATTTTATGTATACTGAAAGTTGTTTTCTTTTTTCTGTCCGTTTCAATTGTACTTTTTTATGGTGGATAAAGACGTATCGTTATTATTATTATTATTTTTAGTGGCCGTTGTGGTTTTGTCCGTTTGGTGGAAATCCGCCTTAATTAGAACAAACGGTTAGCACGTTTAGCAATCGGCAATCTTTCGCCGAGGAAATGATCTCCAAACATGTTTATTGTTTTTTTTATCTAATCGGGTCACAACATTAATGAACTACACCTACACGGCGCGGAAACAGATTTGCAAAGTTCGATGTAATAATAAACTAACAGTCACGACAAGGAATTTGTATGCGAGTTGATTTTCAGGCGATACCAATTTTGCCACCTCCAGAACAATGGCTGGATTAAATTAAGGCCAAAAAGTTGCGTGTTTCGAATGTTTGTGAAACACTCAGAGCACGTGTGGAGAACAGTGCCATAGAAGTTTCCGATCTAACGAAAAATGTGCAAAATAGTCCGGGGTTGGATACTCAAGCGTAGGGAATATATCAGAAAATATTATATTTCAACCCCAACATAGATGAATTCAGTATGGCTAGTAAAATGCGCAGAATATTATGAATTTATGCTCTGTTTGAAATTTCACTTTAGCATCGAACACGATAAAAAATCACCTAAAAGTCGTAATCGCGTGGCTCGCTTCAACTACCAAGTTTTTCTCCGTGCAAATGCACCAAAAGTTTAAGGAGAAATATGTTTTGAAGCATTATGTTCTCTGATGAAAGTATCTCTTCTTTGGCCGCCGAAGTTCCCAGACCTAATATCAGTGGATTATTATTCTTGGGAAATAGGACGACACATCCTAAGAGTTCGTGAGAACAAACTCCATGAAGAGATTCAGAAAACGATCAAACCGAGTGAAAGAAATTTTCAACGTGTGTTATTAGTGTACTTATTGTTTTTTCTTTTCAGTTTGAAATATTAAACACGTATTTCTTTAATTTTGTAAAGATAATTTCAAAAACTAAGTGACACGCATATACTAGGCCAATTTCAAACATTTTAAACCAGAAAAAAATGTGAACATTGAACGATATTGGACGAATATCAGTTAGCAATATTGTTCAATATTCCGACACAAGTATATCTAAAC